CCCCAAAAAATATAATAAATAAATAAAAAAATCTCACTTCTCACACCGCCCACTGCCAACACCTTTCTCACACACACCACCACAGGTCCCTCACCCACACCACCACAGGTCCCTCACCCACACCACCACAGGTCCCTCACCCACACCACCACAGGTCCCTCACCCACACCACCACAGGTCCCTCACCCCCACCACCACAGGTCCCTCACCCACACCACCACAGGTCCCTCACCCACACCTCTACACAGCACATTTATTAAGTAATGTTTATAAAACCTGATCCACAACAAAAACCTATTTCAACAAACACAATGAACCGTTATTCATTATACATCTCACTCTACACCCACTAATACCACAAGTCAAAAACAACCAGAACAGAAAAACTCCCCCACAATACATGAAGCGTGTCCCTGAGTCGACCATTTGTGATCTGCCCCCCTAAAAATGAGTATTGTTAAAGGCTTCTTATTATCGTCGCTGTATGAAACACTGCCACAACCTGTTGACAAAATAATTATTGTCTGTGTGATGAATGGTGATGGAAAACTAACATACACACAAACAGAGACACGCACAAACAGAGACACGCACATACAGACACGAAGACGCGCATACAGACACACGCACAAACAGACACACGGAGACACGCACATACAGACACACGGAAACACGCACAAACAGACACGCGGAGACGCACATACAGACACGCGGACACGCACATACACACATGGAGACACGCACATGGACACACGGAGAAACGCACATACACACGGACACGCACATACAGACACACGGAACACACATGCAGAAACACACACACATAGACACACACACATACAGACACACGGAACACACACATCGACACAAGGAGACACATCAGACACAGGAAACACACACACAGAAACGCGCACATACAGACACACGGAGACACGCACATAAGCACGGGAACACACAAACAGACACACAGAGACACGCACATACAGACGAGAACGCACAGACAGACACACGGAACACACGAAACAGACACAGAGCACGCACATACAGACACACGGAGACACACATAAAGACACACGGAGACACACATAGACACACGGAGACACGCACATACACACACACACACATACACACACGAGACATGCACATACACACAGACATGCCCACACAGACACACACATACACACAGAACACGCACATACACACGAGACACGCATACAGACACACGGAGACACGGACATACAGACAGGAGACACACACACGGAGACACGCATACAGACACACGGAGACACACATACAGACACACGGAGACACACATACAGACACACATACGGAACACGCACATACAGACCACATGCAGACACACAGGCGCACATCAGACACAGGGAGACACACATCAGACACACGGAAACACACACACACGGGAGACGCGCACACTACAGACACACGGAGACACACATGAACCGAGACACGCACATAACAGACACACGCACAGACACACGGAAACACGCACATACAGACGGAACACACAGAGACACGCACATAGACACAGAAACACGCACGAACCGCATAGACACACGGAGACACGCACATACAGACACACGGAGACACGCACATACAGAGACACAGGAGACACACATACACACAAAACACACACATACACAGAACATACAGACACGGAGACACGCACATACAGACACACGCACATACAAGACACACGGAGACACGCACATACAGACACACGGAGACACACACACAGACAATATCAAAATGAATAACAAGACAACGACTAAAGCTAACCTAACCAAGACATGTTAACCCTTACCTTACCGCTAAACATTCATGCCTCCTCACTCTGTACACACGTCACCAGTCAAGTCAGGTCAGGCGGACAAGACGAATAAACGGATCGAGATTAATGGAATGAATAACTGTAATCTACCTGACCTGACCTGACCTGTGTACTACAAGTGTTAGGACTGTGGTACACACCTGACCTGTTACTACTGGTGTTAGGACTGTGGTACACCGCCTGTGTACTACAGATTGGGACTGTGGTACACCTGACCTGTGTACTACTGGTGTTGGACTGTGGTACACCTGACCTGTGTACTGCAATTGTTGGACTGTGGCCTTGACCTGTGTACTACAAGTGTTGGGACTGTGGTACACCTGACCTGTGTACTACAAGTGTTAGGACTGTGGTACACCTGACCTGTGTACTACTGGTGTTAGGACTGTGGTACACCTGACCTGTGTACTACTGGTGTTAGGACTGTGGTACACCTGACCTGTGTACTACTGGTGTTGGGACTGTACACCTGACCTGTGTACTACTGGTGTTAGGACTGTGGTACCTGACCTGTGTACTACGTGTTGGACTGTGGGTACACCTGACCTGTGTACTACTGGTGTTGGGACTGTGACTAACACCTGTGTACTACAAGTGTTAGGACTGTGGTACACCTGACCTGTGTACTACAAGTGTTAGGACTGTGCACGACCTGTGTACTACTGGTGTTAGGACTGTGGTACACCTGACCTGTGTACTACAAGTGTTAGGACTGTGTACAACTGACCTAACCTGTGTACTACAGGTGTGGGACTGTGGTACACCTGACCTGTGTACTACTGATGTGGGACTGTGGTACTGACTGAACTGTGTACTACAAGTGTTAGGACTGTGGCACACCTGACCTGTGTACCAAGTGTTAGGACTGTGTACACCTGACCTGTGTACTACTGGTGTTGGACTGTGGTACACTGACCCTGACCTGTGTAGTGTGGGACTGTGGTACACCTGACCTGTGTACAGAGTGTTGGGACTGTGGTACACCTGACCTGTGTACTACAAGTGTTAGGACTGTGGTACTGACCTGTGTACTAAGTGTTAGGACTGTGGTACACCTGACCTGTGTACTACGGTGTTAGGACTGTGGTATACCTGACCTGTGTACTGCAAGTGTTCGGGCCTGTGGTATACCTGACCTGACCTGTGTACTACAGTGTGGGACTGTGGTACACCTGACCTGACCTGTGTACTACAAGTGTGGGACTGTGGTACACCCGACCTGTGCTACAAGTGTTGGACTGTGCATCACCTGACCTGTGTACTACTGGTGTTGGACTGTGGTACACCTGACCTGTGTACTACTGGTGTGGGACTGTGGTACACCTGACCTGTGTACTACTGGTGTGGGACTGTGGTACACCTGACCTGTGTACTACTGGTGTTAGGACTGTGGTACACCTGACCTGTGTACTACTGGTGGGACTGTGGTGCAACACCTGACCTGTGTACTACAAGTGTTGGACTGTCACACCTGACCTGTGTACTACTGGTGTTAGGACTGTGGTACACCTGACCTGTGTACTACTGGTGTTAGGACTGTGGTACATCTGACCTGTGTACTACTGGTGTTAGGACTGTGGCACCTGACCTGTGTACACTGGTGTTAGGACTGTGGTACACCTGACCTGTGTACTACTGGTGTTAGGACTGTGGTACACCTGACCTGTGTACTACTGGTTTAGGACTGTGGTACACCTGACCTGTGTGCTACAAGTGTTGGGACTGGCACACCTGACCTGTGTGCTACAAGTGTTAGGACTGTGGTACACCTGACCTGTGTACTACTGGTGTTGGGACTGTGGTACACCTGACCTGTGTACTACTGTGTTAGGACTGTGGTACACCTGACCTGTGTGGGACTGTACCTGACCTGACCAAGTGTGGGACTGTGGTACACCTGACCTGTGTTACTGAGTGTTAGGACTGTGGTACACCTGACCTGTGTACTACAAGTGTTTAGGACTGTGGTACACCTGACCTGTGTACTACTGGTGTTGGACTGTGGTACCTGCTGCAGACCTGTGTACTACAAGTGTTGGGACTGTGGTACACCTGACCTTTACTACAAGTGTTGGGACTGTGGTACACCTGACCTGTACTACAGAGTGTGGGACTGTGGTACACCTGACCTGTGTACTGCTACAAGTGTTAGGACTGTGGTACACCTGACCTGTGTACTACAGTGTTGGGACTGTGGTACACCTGACCTGTGTCTACTGAGTGTTAGGACTGTGGTATACCTGACCTGTGTACTACAAGTGTTAGGACTGTGGTACACCTGACCTGTGTACTACAAGTGTTAGGACTGTGATATACCTGACCTGACCTGTGTCACACAAGTGTTAGGACTGTGGTACACCTGACCTGTGTACTACAAGTGTTAGGACTGGTACATCTGACCTGTGTACACTGCAAGTGTTGGGCTGTGGTATACCTGCAAACCTGTGTACTACAAGTGTTAGGACACACCTGACATGTGTACTACAAGTGTTAGGACTGTGGCTCCTGACCGTTGTGTATTACAAGTGTTAGGACTTGGTACACCTGACCTGTGTACCAAAGTGTTGGGACTGTGGTACACGACCTGTGTACTACTGGTGTTAGGACTGTGCTACACATGTGCTACAAGTGTTAGGACTGTGGTACACCTGACCTGTGTACTAAGTGTTAGGACTGTGATACCACTGTGCCATGTACCTGAGTGTTGGGACTGTGGTACACCTGACCTGTATACAAGTGTTAGGACTGTGGTACACCTGACCTGTGTACTACAAGTGTTAGGACTGTGGTACACCTGACCTGTGACTGCAGTGTTAGGACTGTGGTACATACCCCTGACCTGTGTATTACAAGTGTTAGGACTGTGCACAGCCAGCTGACCTGTTTTTACCAGGACTGCACCTCCCCTAACCTGAGCTTCTGGGACTGTGGCACACCTGACCTACCGCACTACTAGGACTGTGGCACACCTGACCTGGTCTACTAGGACTGTGGCACACCTGACCTGTGTACTACTAGGACTGTGGCACACCTGACCTGTGTACTACTAGGACTGTGGCACACCTGACCTGTGTACTACTAGGACTGTGGCACACCTGACCTGTGTACTACTAGGACTGTGTTGACCATACACGTGTTGAGAGATACTTACCTCTTCTCTGAATCTCTTAACAATTTCTCCCTTCTTGCCGATAATGCTGCCCACTTCCTGTAAACAAAGAGAAGAGACATGACTTAGTAACGAGACAAGGAGATACACACACACACACACGTCCAACTGAGGGGTTCATTAAGTAAAGTTGGCCAGTATGGATAACAGCCATGTAATATAATGTACACTCGCACCAAAAAGTATCGGTGCAGGGTGAGATCGACGACTTCCGAAACGATACGTATACACTGTGATATGTCGGGAAGGTTGGTAAGTGTATCCTCATAACCCCTCCACTAGGTGTTGCCATAATCAGTGTGTTGTTTCTCTTTTCGGATTGTTGCTTTGTGTCGACTGAATGATGAGCGAGGTTCGGTCTCGGTGAACGTGGGGTATAAAACAGAGGCAATATGGCAGCAGAGATCCACATGCCAGACGACATAGAAACCTCAGAGGAACACGAGGCTATTACCCTTCATAACGAGGGTTCGGCGTCACAGATATTAGCCGGCGGGTTGGTGTCCAGGAACACCGCTGCACGATGGATTGGCGATACCTCGAAACTGGTGCTACAGACGACAGGTCTCGGAGCGGCCGTCCACGCTGCACCACCCTCAGGACGACCAGGTTGAGTGGTTTATTTGGTAGCATAAATTAATGTAGCAATATTCACAAGTATCACAAATAATTTTGTTAACAGAGCTCCTCATATTTCATACCGTCTATTTATCACTTCCCGACCTTATTTATAACGGTTTGTTTCACTTGACCAGGGCTGCCAACACACGGCTGGAACAACTCGCCTTTCCCCATACCTATCGTCACTGGTCTCAAATTGTTCACACTACGGTATGCACCGATACTTTTTGTTGCGAGTGTACATCCTTGGCCAAAATATCTATTGTCTAAGTATTAATATTTCTTGTAACACTTACTATATTTACAGTACCTGCTTTTATTGTACCATCAAAACCGTTTTATCGGAAATTATCATGTAAATAGATAAGTAATTACCATTACAATAAACACAATTGCCAACTAGTCATAATCCTGACAGCTCTGTCCTCTTGTTCAACCTTATTACTATACAACCCAGGTTGTACTGCTCCCCCATTATACTTATGTTTTTCAATTCCACTGTAATTTATGTATATACTTATAATATAAATAAAAATAAACAAAAAATAAAATAAAATAAAATTAATAAATATTAAAGTGATAACCGTGGTAACATTATGAGATGTTCTTATCACCACCATGCTATTGTACTATTCCAGATGTTACTAAATGTTACATAATACTTCCTTGAGATAAATGTATAGTATATATCAGGTGCCTCAAAGAGAGCTCAGGTTCTCAACTGGCTCAGCCATGTTAATATTGTTATTATTATCCACTCTGTATCTGTGTTTTTATGGCTAAATAAACTGTTTCGTTTCAATTCAATTCAAGTAAATGCATGTGAAGTTTTTTATTTATTTTTTTTGAGGTCATATATAGGGTGGGGAGGGAAGGTGAGACAGGAGGGAGGGAAGGTGAGACAGGGAGGGAGGAAGGTGAGACAGGAAGGGGGGTCGTGACTTTTAGGTGGGGGTCGTCCGCTAAGCTTCGTCAGTATTCTAGAGGTTAGACACAATACATACAAGTATACAAAACATCAGCTGTCTTTATACATACATACATACATACATACATACATACATATACTTCGGCCGAGGCAAAAAAAACGGTAAAAATAGAGGTTTGCAATGAGGCGTTCCAACCTGTGGCGGAAGGACAGACCCCTCCCCACTAGTAGATACATACGTGTGTCATTTCCAGATACGTGTCTTTATTACAGTAGCTGTGCCATAGTGGACGGACAGACAAACACTCAATTTCTGTATTTTTTTTTGTCTCCCTATATCACCTGTTACCTGGCTGCCTCTCTCTCCTCCATCGTCCTCACATAACATTTACTCTCTCTGTTGCTCCTCTCTCGCTCTCTTCTGCAACCCACCCCTCGTCTTCCTCCTCCACTTGCCTCCTCTCCCCCACCTCCTCTTGCTCCACCTCCCCTCTCACTCCCTCACCTTCTCTTGCTCCACCTCCCCTCCATCCTTCTCTTGCTCCACCTCCCTCCCCACCCCTCCTCTTGCTGCACCTCCCTCCCTCACCTTCTCTTGCTCCACCTCCCCTCTCACCTCCTCTTGCTCCACCTCCTCCCCTCACCTCCTCTTGCTCCATCTCCTCCCACCTCCTCTTGCCCCACCTCCCTCCCCACCTCCTCCTCTTGCTCACCTCCCCTCCCCCACCTCCTCTTGCCCCACCTCCCTCCCCACCTCCTTGCTCCACCTCCTCCCCACCTCCTCTTGCTCCCTCCCCTCCCCCCACCTCCTCTTGCTCCACCTCCCCTCCTCACCTCCTCTTGCTCCACCTCCCCTCCCCACCTCCTCTTGCTCCACCTCCCCTCCCTCACCTCCTCTTGCTCCACCTCCCCTCCCTCACCTCCTCTTGCTCCACCTCCCCTCCCTCACCTTCTGCTCCACCTCCCCTCCCTCACCTCCTCTTGCTCCACCTCCCCTCCCTCACCTCCTCTTGCTCCACCTCCCTCCCCTCCCCTCCTCTTGCTCCACCTACCCTCCCCACCTCCTCTTTTCACCTCCCTCCCCACCTCTCTTGCTGCACCTCCCCTCCCTCACCTCCTCTTGCTCCCTCCCCTCCCCACCCCTCCTGCTCCACCTCCCTCCCTCACCTCCTCTTGCTCCCCCTCCTCTTGCTCCCTCCCCTCCCCACCTCCTTTGCTCCACCTCCCTCCCCACCTCCTCTTGCTCCACCTCCTCACCTCCCGTCTCACCAGCCTTTCAGGAGGAGACAAGCCCCCGCCCTCACTAGCCCCTCACCCCAACAAAAGACAACCTACCCGGTACTATTACACAGATGCAACACTCTACCTCTCCCAATATATCCGGTGGTGGTGTTGTTGTTCTCTCTCTCCTTTCTCACTTCCCTTAACCTCTCCCAATATATCCGGGTGGTGTTGTTGTTGTTCTCTCTCTCTCCTTTCTCACTTCCATAACCTCTCCCAATATATCCGGGTGTTGTTGTTGCTCTCTCTCTCTCTCTCTCTGTATCTCTAATCTTTCTATCTATATATCTTATCTATCTTTCTTACCCTCTATCTCTCTATATTTCAACCACTGTCTGTGTCTGTCTGTCTGTCTGTCTGTATCTGTCTATTTCCTATCCCTGTCACCCACCGTCACTTATCCCCGTCAGAAGCTCAGGTCCTCCTCCAATAACAAGGGTTCAGGTGTATGTACAGTGGAAGCTTTACTCACACACACACACTATATCCTCCCCACCCCAAGCTTCCCCCATTATATCCTCCCCTCCTCGCATTCTCCGCAAACCTCACCCTCTCTTTTCTCTCCCCACATACACCTCAAACCCTCGTCACTTCCTCCCCTCTCTTCCCTCCACCAAGCCTCGCCATCTCCCTTCCTCCCCAAATACACCCCAAGTCTTCCCACTATATCCTCCCCGTCCTCAACTCTGCCCACAAGCCTCGCCATCTTCTCTCCCCACATACACCCCAAACCCTGGTCACTTTCTCCCACAGGCCTAGTCACCTCCTCCCCTAGTCTCTCCCCTCCCTCCCCCAGCGGTGTCATTACCTCCACACAATCTATCACCCCGTCACCCAAATCCCTCCCCCATTTTATCTCTCTCAAGACGCCCCTCCCACACTTGTCTTCAATTTCCCTCCTGCCGACACTACTAGTGGGGGCTAGAGGGGAGGTGTGGTGGAAGACGGTGTGTGGATATTGGTGGGTGGATAGACGGTATGGGGAGGGTGGGAGATGGTGTGTGGGTATTGAATTGAAACAGTTTATTTAGTTCGAAAAATACAGATACAGAGTGGATAATAATAACCATATTAACATGGCTGAGCCGGTTGAGAACCTGAGCTCTCTTGTAGGTACCTGATAATTATATACTATACATTTATCTCGAGGTTTAGGCCGTATTCAAGAACAGTCATGGGGTGTACGACGCCATTTACGATGACCTTCTTGCCCTGATCTTGTTTCAGGAATACCACATTTTTGAAGCTCTGGAGAGATCTCGAAGTTTCGATATTTTGAGTACAGAACTAGCTAATAATTCCCACCAGGAAACTTTCAGACTCTTCCAAAGCTTCGAAGAGTGCAGAGTTCCATGTGTTAAAGGCGATATTGCTGAAAAAAGATCAGGGCAAGAAGGTCATCGTAAATGGCGTCGTACACCCCATAACCGTTCTGGAATAGTACACATAGCATGGTGGCAGTAAGAACATATCAGAATGCTACCACGGTATAGGGGAGGGCGTAGTGTGGAACAAGTGTAGCGTGGCATGGGACAGCGTGACGTGGGCATGGCGTGAAACATGGGTGACGTGGGCATGGCATGAGACATGGGTGGCGTGGGATAAGGGCAGCGTGGAACACAGGAATAGCGTGGTGCAGGGGTTGCTTGGCGTGGGACTGGTAGTGTGGCCCAGCGTTGAGAATTATTTAAGTACTTTTGAATAATAAAAAAAAAATTACCCTTCTTTAGTGTGTGTGTGTGTGTCTGTATGTGTGTGCGTTTACCAGAGCGCGTCACGACTCCTTTTGGGACCTCCCCCATGCTCTGTAAGGTGAAGCGCAGAAGCGTTTACAGCGCCCAACAGGGAAGCATGCTAAGTTCATGCTTGCCTTTATGTCTCAAGAGTTAAGGGCGTAGAAGCCTGAAGAGTCAATGGTTTATGTCATCAACAACTTTCCCTGAATACGAATTCGCAACTTTCGATTTACACCAGGTACCTGCATTGCTGCTAGGTGAACAGTGACCAATGAGGGCTAGGAAGCATGTCCAAACAACTTTTCCACTGGCCCGGGAATCGAACCCATGATATCTAGCTTGCAGGGCAAGAGCGGTACCGCTCTACCACCTGCGCCCCTCACGATTCCTTATTTAGTCAATATTTGGGTGAATTAGGTAAACACATACACAAACCCTTCACTAATCACCCCCATACATACACACACACACAT